CATATTTAATGGCTGGAAAACAGCTCGTGTTAGCATGAGATCAGACAGATGACAAGGCAGGCCTCTGGGGGACCCTGAGCTATGACTCTCAGCTTCAGGGTCACCTTCTCAGAGAGTAAGTAAATAAGAGAGTAAATAAGAGGGTATAAACCTTTCATATGTACGCCTGCATAGTTATTGGAGCACTCAGAATCCGGTGCAGCTGTGCATTGTAGCCAATCAGCTTCTAACTTCATCTTGTTCGATCAGCTTTGGCAATAAAAACCTGGAAACTGATTGTTTTCTATGCATAGCTGCTCCAGATTTTACACTCTCCAGTTTGAGTAAATAGCTACCATTATAATTTAAAGTGAGCTTCTAAGGAAAGCATCTCAATCTCCATTTATAACAGGGTTTCATGCAACCCTAGGGTTCCTCCAGGTTGCTAGGGGTTCCTTGAGCAATGAGAAATTTCTGACTCTACGATACATTTCTACTGATACCAATGATCTTTTTAGCTATCTGTAAGGGGGTATTTCTTCCCAATGACACAAGTGTTAGGAGCATTCTTCCCACCGACCATCACACTATTGTATCATGAGTTTTAGACATGATAATTTTTTGCAAGGATCCCTGAGACCAAAAAGTTATTTCAGGGGTTCCTCTGTGTTGGAAAGTTTGAGAGGCTGATTTATAAGGTGTTATAATAATTCAGTCTCACTTCTTTGGCTGGTGTTTGTGCTCTCATTTTGTTGTATTCGCTTCCTGTTGGAGTAGAAGTGTTATCTCAGGTTTGTAAGGCAACTTTTGGAGGCTGATCTGTCTCCTACCTGAGCTCAAGGCTGATAAGTGACTATCACATACCTGGTAGGACACTGAATTCATGAGGTTGGCGTTCTCTTGTTTCTCCAGTCCAGGCCCCACTGAAGGTGGAACAGATAGTGCTAGGGTTGCCACCTCATCCCTTTAAAACCCTAACACATAATAATTACACAGGTTATGTGGCTAATTAAGGTGGTATTAAATTCACTTAGTGTCTTACTTGCATTAAATTAGCCTCAGAACCTATGTAATTCATATGTGTTTCATTTTAAAGGGATGAGGTGGCAACCCTGGATGGTGCCAAGGGACAGGAGGAACATGAGTGCCGACAGGTGTTGACAGCTCAACTTGCAGCCAGAGATGTAGGCTCGGAAGGTCAGGCAGGACCAGGGTTGAAGGGAAGACCAGCCGAGGTTAAAGGGGTACTCTGCAGGAATTTCAGATTCTGGATGCATAGCTTGTTGGGGCTCCCAGCAGGCTTGAAGCAGGAACACGCTGTGACAACTGGAGCTGAGATGAGGGACAGCCAGGGCAGGCACTCAGGGATAACGTGGAGCCAAAATTAAAACAGAAGCACAGTCAGAGGGGCAGCCAAGGTTGACAACAAGCAGGCAACGAGGTACTGAATCATCAGGCAGAGGAGTGAGCCAAGGTCAGGAATTGATATGCTGAGGCATAAACAGGATCCAAGGTCAGGTCAATAGCAAGCCGGATCAGCAATGAATATACTATACAAGCAGGACACAGTAGGAAAAGTTGAAGACCAGGCAGCACTGAAAGTGAGTAAGAGCATCACTGAAAAAAGCCCGTTTGGCACCAACAGGAACTATGGACATGCCCCCGCATGTGAGCATAAAAATGCGCACATTCCTGCGTGCATGCACGCGCCTATGCTCAATTCTATGAGCAATACTATGCACATGCGCCCGATGTCTCACAGTAGCTTCCTGACACTGATACTTTGTCTGGGATGCTGGAGGAAGTTAAATCTGGCAGTTAAACCACAACGCCAGGCATTGCTTCCCCACCCCACCATTTCCCTCCCCAACCTTTTCTCATATGATCTCTGACCAAAGCACTCAGTCACATGATGTTCCGGGTCCCCAGTCTTCTACCGTTTCACTGCAGAAAGTAAGGGCCCTTCTTCAAGGTAACTGGGTGACATGGATACTTCTTTCGGGCTATCAGTAATGTTCATTGTCCTCTGTTTGCCTCCTGGGATATGCATGTCACATATTCCTTGAGGCAAAGCCTTTCATTCAGTAAAAGAGGAGAGGGTGGGCCTAGCGAGGAATCATCAGGAGATGTGCAAGCTGAACATGGAACATCCTACCTCTTGATGACATCACAGCAAAACATGGTGGCGCCTGAGAGTTGCTAAAAAAGAGGAGGTTCTCAGCTGGACTGCGCTGGATTCACTTGGTGGGTGGAAGCATCTAACTAGTTTTGTCAGCGTGACATCATCAGGAACGGCCTACGTGACAACACACCGATGAAACTGGTTGGGCGGAGCCTTTTGCGTCACGGTGCCATACCTCTGGTCAATGGAGCTCAAGGGCGTCCTGGAACCCAGAGAATAAGCGCTAATGTTTGGTTTTAATACAAGTGTATTTCTGTGAGTCTGAGGAGTTTTAATAAATGATATAGCACTGTTTGGAGTTTTGCCTTCTGGTTCCCTTGGTACATATTGGTGGAGTGGCGGAAAAAAGAAGTGTTTTGACATTGGCCGAGTATACATTCAAAAGAGGATACAGTGGATGATGAACAGAGCGCATGTGACCTGCTTAGAAAAAGGGGTCCTGAAACTCTGGTGAGTGCAGCTCAAGGAGGGGAGCACGGGTGTCACGGCACTTATTCCAATGAGCACTTTATGTGGATTAAGCACTTTGATAATGACTTAAGATTTGCATATTTTTGTATTTTTGCATATATTGAACAGGGGGTGTTATATTTCATAGCATAGGATTTATGTTCAGGAGAAAGGGGGAGGTGCATTGTAGCACCTTCACTGATTATATATAAGAAGGTGGTTTATACATGGAATATTGTGGGTAACATGTGGATCTATTGATGAAGGGAGGGTGGGGTTATAGTACATATGAAGGTTTTTTTTTTTTGCGCAATGAGTTTTTTATTGTGAGATTTACACATAAAGTCATTTTTAGCATTTAGCACTCAGAACTAAAGGAGTTGTTGCACAAAGGGGAAGGTGTTTTGTAGTGCCACTGTTAGGGATCCGGGTATGACCAGAAATGTGTGCACTGACACAGGGAAACACAGGCTCCAGGTATAATATAAACAATACAATTTATTAAAGACTAAACAATACATAAATGCACTGCAAGACTAAACATAAACACAGTGCAACCAAACCTCCAACAGATAACAATATGAACAATACTAAACGTAGTCGGGCAGGCCGGGTTGGTAGCAAACGGGCAGGCAAGGTACAAGGAGCAGGCGAAGCATAGTCAGGAATAGCCGAGGTCAGGACAGGCAGAGTTCATGCAGAGTCAGGATTAAAGCAGAATTAGGATCAGGCAGGAAGCAGACAGGATGCAGGTACAGGGGCTCATGGGAAACATACACCAAGGCCCTGATCACAGGCCTGGCCATTCCTTAAATACACCTGCTGTAATCAGCCTCAGGTGATGGCTCATTGCAGGAGTGAGCCTCTGGTTGCTGAGAGCACCCACTGGCCAGCCCTGGTACTGCAGCCCACAAGGCAGGTGAGTCCTACCACCACTGGCAAGTCCATTCCTGACAGCCACACCAATAATTTTTTGTTTTCACATTTATGTCCATTTAGGATATAAAGGTGGTGTAAGGCACCTGCTTTAATATCTGGGGATTGGTCCATAGTGCGGATATCACATTTTGAAAATTTTAAAGAAAACATATCCAAGTTTTTTTTATTGTTTTTTGTAAAGATAAAGAGCTCAAAATTATTTTTCATGCTCATTAGTGTACCCATAACTGTTGTTTACAAAGCCCAGTAGCTTAAGCTCAAGTTTACACAAATAACTGAACAGATTGACTCCTCCCTTCTCAGTTTCAACCAGAGAATGTCAATCTGAAGGACAAGATGTTTTGCTGTTTGTGCTCCTTTTATAGAGATCTCCTTTTTACTTTCTGTGCTGATACGTGCTAATTAAGTTGAAAGTCAGTAGGAATTTCCCAAATGGGGACAGGGAAAGTGACAAAAAATTGCTAACTCTAACTTTCAATCCTATACAAAACTGTAAAAAAAACAAAAAAAAACTAAAAAACATTTGCTGAGATTGTGTATGTCCTGCCAAAAAAAAAATTAAATTTTTGGATGGAGTACAGAAGAAATAGCAGAGAGACTTCTAGGTCTCTCCTTACAGAGATTTCCTATCTCATGACAACAGTTTCATCTGACAGAAATCGAGGGAAAATATGCAACAGGGATACAGACAAGCCTTTTCTTATGCTACTCAGTGAAGCTGCTGCTACCGTGATAGAAAGTGGGGTGAAAATCTGGGACTCTGGATAGCAGTAGAGGTGCTGCATGGGTTAAAATGCTTCCCCACTTTATCCAAAACTGAAAAAAAAAAACATTTTAGCTCGAAACACACTTTAAAGTGAAACAAAGCTCTTGTATCCTCTTATCTGCAGAGGAAAGTGCCATCTTAGCTTCTATAGATCTTCAATGACCATGCACAAGTGACCAGCAATGACACCAACCATTTGAGGACTTGAAAGATTGGTTGAGAACTGGCATGAGCACACTGGAAACCGTTCGGCAGAGGCATGATTGAATGTAGTATATACCGCACAAGCACTTATAGGCAGAATGTATATGAAAACATTGCAGAAAATAATATTGGTGTGTTGGATGAAGGTTTTACTAACATTTATTGAACATTTATAACTCAAACTTCATTTTGGTAAACTAGTTAAATCACTGGGATTGGCTCTGCCTTTAAATCAGTTGTCCCTTAGTGCCCTGTCCTAAATGTAACTTGTAATTTCCTACAACAAACTTGCCAATGGCATCAAACATACTTTAGTATTAATCATGTATGTGTTTATGATAAATATCCTCATTCTCAGCCAAATGGAATGTTGAATGTTATCCCTATTTATGCCAATAGAGAGAATTACTGAAATGTTCATTTAATTAACTTTATTTATATCATCCCATTTCAACAACTAATTTTTCTTGGTTATTAGATATGAAATCTGTTGGGAACTGCTCACACTGCCATGACTCCATTTACTTGGTTCAGGAGATCAGGAAGCTTCACGGGGAACTGGAAGAGATCCAGAAGATGCTTTTGGCTCAGGAGGTGCAATTGGTCCAATCATCTGAAAATCATCAGATTCTTCTGTCATCCAGTGACAAACTAGATAACCAAATTGAGAGAAGCAACTTTTCTCTTCGTCAGATCAATCAGACTTTAGGAATTTTCCTGTCCCAGGTTAAAGGGTGGCAGACCACAGCAACGGACTTGGAGACCTCAGTGAAGAACTTGGTTCAGGAGAGGTATGACATTACTGCTGCCATACAACAGATCAATTTTACTTTGGGTCAAACATCAGACTGGATACAAGTCATTCAGAGGAAAACAGATGAGGAGACATTAACGTTGCAAAAAATTGTGTCTGACTGGCAAAACTATAGCAAAGTTTTTGGTGGCTTTAAATCAACGTCGGTCAAAACTATCGACTTGGTGAGGAGCATTCAGAGTAGTATTGCTGCAACCGCACAACGCATCACCCTTAACACAGAGGTCATGCATGATCTGGTCCTACAAGTAATGGGTCTTCAGCTACAGTTGGACAACATCACGGCTTTCATTGATGATCATGAGGAAAACATGGCGGACCTCCAGTACCATTCAAAGTACACTCAAAATCGGACAGTTGAGCGCTTTGAGAGCCTGGAGGGTCGGATGCTGTCTCATGAAACAGAAATTGGCACCATATTCACTAATATTAATGCAACTGATAACCATGTGCACAGTATGTTGAAATATCTTGATGATGTGCGACTTTCCTGTACCCATGGATTCAATTCCCATGCTGAGGAATTATACGTTCTTAATAAGTCAGTCAGTATGGTGCAGGGCACCGCAGATATGCTCAGAGAGAAGTTCAGCTTGATGAATGTTCAACTAGATTTTGATGTACGAAATCTGTCAATGATCATGGAGGAAATGAAATTGGTGGACACCAGACATGGGGAAATTCTCCAGAAAGTCATCACTGTGCAAGGTAAGACTTACAATATATGTCAGGGTGAAAAAAAAATTGGTATGCTATTAAAATCCTGTTTGAGCTGACAATTCAATGCCTGTGCTGGACTGAAATCCAGTGCTTTGTTGTCAGCCATGTCTTGCACTACAGCTAATCTGTCTGCACCCACCCCTCTCAGTACAACTCAGTTCCATGTATTGATCTCTTTTTCAGAAAAAAAAAATGCAGCTGCCTTGACTTCTAATAGCTGGACTCCAAGGAACTGGAATTAATGACATAATATTTTCAGTTTTAAAAGTTCATGTTGCAGTTCACGGTACTTTAGCTGAGGGCTTTCCGGTTCTTTTTGGCCCACCTCACCATAACCTAAATGATTATATAGGAGTTGTGTCATTTATATCATGGTTGCATTCCAGGAAATGAGCATTTAATACCAGATTTTGCATAATTTAAAAAGTTGTTTTCCTTGAAAATAATGGTAAATGCAATCCATATGCTTGATTCTAAGGCTCCTTTTACATGGCCGGTTTGTTGCGGCCTTTGGATTCCTGCGGCAAGAATTTGTGATTTAGCATCGTCCACTGACCTAAACGAATGGTGGGCTGACAGCGGCTGCTGATTGAATGTAGCCACACACAGAGATTAGCTGCGGTTGTGGAACAGATGACCAAGCCTTGACTGCCTCCCGGCTCGGACATCTGTCCCACAACCGCAGCTAATCGCTCTGTGTGCAGCTACATTTGATCAGCAGTGGCCGCTGTAAGCCCGCTATTCTAAATGGGTTGAGTGGCCGATGCTAATCGCATAACCCAGTCATTCCTGCAGCAAGGATCTGCAGATGCTCGCCACAAGGATCTGGAGGCCGCCACAAACCTGCTACATAAAAGGGGCCTAACCCTGCTTACATCCCATGGGTGGGAACTGCCATACAATAGCTACCTTTAGCATGCTAGGTTTTAAGCAGCAGTACAATTACGGATGCACTGATACCAATACTGGTATCGGTATCATTGCTGATACTGAGTATTTTCATGAGTACTCGTGAAAATGCTCCTGATACTGGAAACTGATACTTTGTGACAATACAAATTGAACCGCAGAGATTAGCTGCAATTTGAACAGGAATTTATTTCAGGTACTTATATAGCGCCGATAATTTTTGCAGTGCTTTACATATATATTGTACATTCACATCAGTCCCTAACCCTCACGGGGTATATAATCTAAGGTCCCTAACTTACATTCATACATACAAGGGGCAATTTAGACAGGAGCCAATTAACCTACCAGCATGTCTTTGGAGTGAGGGAGGAAACCCATGCAGGCACAAGGAGAACATGCAAACTCCAGGCAGGTGGTGTTGTGGCTGGGAATTATTATTACAGCTACTTATATAGCGCCGTCAATTTACGCAGCGCTTTACATATATATTGTACATTCACATCAGTCCCTAACATACCAGCATGTCTTTGGAGTGTTGGAGGAAACCCACGCAGGCACAGAGAGAAAATGCAAACTCCAGGCAGGAGGTGCCGTGGCTGGGAGTCGACTCAACGACCCTAGTACTGCCAGGCAGAAGCGCTAACCATTGAGCCACTGTGGTGCCCAACCAACAACTCTAGTACTGCCAGGTGGAAGTGCTAACCATTTAGCCACTGTGGTGCCCAACCAACAACCCTAGTACTGCCAGGTGGAAGTGCTAACCATTTAGCCACTGTGGTGCCCAACCAACAACCCTAGTACTGCCAGGTGGAAGTGCTAACCATTTAGCCACTGTGGTGCCCAACCAACAACCCTAGTACTGCCAGGTGGAAGTGCTAGCCATTTAGCCACTGTGGTGCCCAACCAACAACTCTAGTACTGCCAGGTGGAAGTGCTAACCATTTAGCCACTGTGGTGCCCAACCAACAACCCTAGTACTGCCAGGTGGAAGTGCTAACCATTTAGCCACTGTGGTGCCCAACCAACAACCCTAGTACTGCCAGGTGGAAGTGCTAACCATTTAGCCACTGTGGTGCCCAACCAACAACCCTAGTACTGCCAGGTGGAAGTGCTAACCATTTAGCCACTGTGGTGCCCAACCAACAACCCTAGTACTGCCAGGTGGAAGTGCTAGCCATTTAGCCACTGTGGTGCCCAACCAACAACTCTAGTACTGCCAGGTGGAAGTGCTAACCATTTAGCCACTGTGGTGCCCAACCAACAACCCTAGTACTGCCAGGTGGAAGTGCTAACCATTTAGCCACTGTGGTGCCCAACCAACAACCCTAGTACTGCCAGGTGGAAGTGCTAACCATTTAGCCACTGTGGTGCCCAACCAACAACCCTAGTACTGCCAGGTGGAAGTGCTAACCATTTAGCCACTGTGCTGAATTTGGACAGAATGCACCATTTGGACAGAATGTGATTTCCGTCCAAATGGAATGAAGTTCCCCCACTGCTCCTGTGTGAACCCAGGCTTGTCATAGCCAGAGCGCACACAGGAGCGGTACGGGAAACATCTGTGCAGGCATCCCTGCTGAGCAGAGAGTGTGCGTGTGGGAATGTATACTATGAAAGCAGCTGGTCCATATTCTCAGCAGTAGGAGAGGAGAGAAAGCTGCGGGGATTTCAAATCTCCAGACCTGTGAAGCAGCTTTCTCTCCTCTCCTTGCGGGGATGACAGTATGGGCTAAATGGCATCTGATTGGTCAACACCATCCGTGCCCATGCTGACCAATCAAAAACCCTCCAGCCCGAACTGAAAGGAGAGATTAGAAAGCGGCAGGGATTGCAAATCCCCACTGCTTTCTCTCCTCTCTTACCGCTGAGAATATGGATCATCTGCCTTCATAGTACACATGCCCACTCTCCACTACGGGAAACGTCCCAGCACCGCTCCTGTGTGAACTCAGTCTGGGTTCACGCAGGAGCAGTGGGGAAACCGCATGCAATTTGGACAGGATTCGCATTCCTGTTCAAATTGCATGCTATTTTTGTGGTTCAGTTTGCACTCATACATTTTGTATTGAAGCAAATCTTACCGCAAAGTATCAGTAATTAATATCAGCGAGTACTTGACTAAAAGTATCGGTACTGGTACTCACCGATTTAAAAAAAAAAAAAAGAAAAGGGTATCGGTGCATACCTAATTATAGTGAGAATACAGGAAAACCTGCTGAGATACAGTATAACATACAGGTCAGACAGAAATACTGTGCAGCCCTGTATATTGTATGCTTCCCTGGAGAGAAAAATATGAAGCTATAGAATGCCAAAGAGAAGAACTAATGGATTAAATGATTAGTTTTGTAGATAATGACATACAATTAGTTGGTAGGCTGCTTGAGTCAGAAAGAAATTGGAATTGGAAGTTTACGCATTATGGTTCCAAAAGTCCAATATAAATATTGGTAATTTTTGATGCCTAAACTATTGAAATATTTAAAAAAGTGCAATCCTGCTGCAATACTCACTTCCCCCCTAGAGTTGTGCCACAATGATTTGTTTTTACCCACCAGATGACTTCAGCCGCCTAGGTTGAATAAAAAACCCAACCCAGCATCCTTTCATCTGAAATACTAATGACATACTAAAGTGTAGGGAGTCCTAGACCTGCACTTGGGGGCGCATCAGCACAGCACCCTGTACTCACAGTGTAATGATTCAGAGAGCGGTGCTGACGCCACCACTAGGAGAAGACCCAAAAACGAAGAGGACTCTGTGCGTCATGGGAGCGGCCTGAAGCTACCTGAAAAAGTTAGTATAAACACAGAAAGCATAAACAGCTGCCGGAGAAGGGGTTTCATGTTTTACGAGGTTGGGAAGTGGGAGGTGATTAGGCAGGTGGGGGTCAGAGCACAGAGCTGGCATTTACAAGTCAAGAAATGTGAGAACGTGGATTTATGAGTAAATATTTAAGGATGCTATGAAAACCTAGATAGTGGGAATTTTTGTGTTTGTTCCAACCACTAGCGCAGGGTTCTCCAAACTTTCTAAACAAAGGGCCAGATTACCATCCTTCAGGCTTTGGGGGACTAGACTGTGGTCAGTGGGAGCAGAAAATGCCCCGTCATCAGTGAGCATAAACTATGTCCCATCATTGGCTTTATTGGGGGACATAGGACCCCACTGTTGGTATCAATGGGAAAAATTGTGACATTGATGGTGTCAGTGGGAGGAAAGATGTACCATCATTGGTGACAGTTGGTTCAATAATGCTCCATTGGCCAGATAAAGGCAAAGGGCCACATTCGGCCCGGACCACAGTTTGGTGACAACTGCCCTAGCGTGTTGACAAAATCCTATTTTATCGACACACTAATGGCCGTGCCCATTAGGGAAAAAGTGGGAGGATGAAACGTGGATTGTGGGAGAGGTTAATAATGTCTCAGGATCCGGGACCATTAAGTTGATAAGCATGTAAATGTGTCATACAATGTTTCCACAGATTGACCTTACATACATATAGTTACATAGTTAGTTTGGCTGAATAAAGACAACAGTCCATCCAGTTAAACCATTAAAAAAAAAAAAAAAATTATAATCCTATACCCACAGTTGATCCAGAGGAAGGCAAAAAAAAAAAAAACCAGCAAAGCATAATCCAATTTGCTTCTGCAGGGAAAAAAATTCCTTCCTGATCCCCCGAGAGGCAACCAGATATTCCCTGGATCAACTTTACCTATAAATGTTAGTATCCAACCGCAGTCCATGTGTTTGTTTTTTTTAATGTGATTTTGTTTTGCTAAATATCTCTCATTGCAAGTGATCAGCTTCCAATACCCTTTTTGACCTGCCTAGTAGCTTTAAAAATGGCTAGAATATAGATTCAAGATTTCCTCCCCAATAACTAACATGCCATCTGTCTACCAAATAGTCTAGAGCCATAGAACATTGACTATTGGAAATATGGTGTAAAGTTAAGTGGCATAGCCCTGGTTCACACCAGTTTGACTTGTTATGCAATTTGACAGTTTCAAATCACATGACAAGTTGCATCCTAATGTCCGCAATGGAACTGATGAAATAAGTACAACTCCGACTTTGCGGTGCCACACCGATTGGAATAAAGGGTCCTGCACTTTTTTTTGTGATTTCAAGTGAG